AGTTATGCGCACTTATTGTTCATCATCTTCTTCGCGTTTTCTAGAGTCGTCAAAATGGGTTGAAACCCGTGAGCCAACCCGGCTCACCATGGGTTTGAGCCGGGTTGGGTTGGAAAAAAATGTCAATTTTTTTATGCGAGCCAATTTTGACCCGGCTCACATGCGTTGAACCCGTGGTGGGTCGGGTTGGCTCACCAACCCACCTATTTGTTTTAATTAAATCAAATTAATTAAATTAATTATTTAAATTCTATTTTTTTTATTAAAATTAAATTAATTAAATTAATTATTCAAAATGTATAACTTTTACTTAGTAATGTATAGTCTTTTCACAAGTTCTCCTCTGCAAATAAAACCCTAAGTTCCCCTACCCTTACGCTCCCTTCACTCGACGTAGCCTTTCCCCTTAGTGCAGCAAAAAATTCCTCGTAGTAGAGCCGTGCAGCAGACTCTCTCCTTCCCCTTCGTGAAACCCTTGTTGTCGTCTCAAATATCTCAGGTAAGAAACGGTTTATATTTTTATAGCTTTCAAATTTCGTTTTCTCATGTTTTTGCCATAATAAAGTGTAATGTGAGGGGTGCTTTATTTTGAGAGTGAACCGTGCATTGATTCCAGAAGCTTAGTGCTTGAGATATTTTGATTTTGGAGCAATGATAACCCTACGATCATAGCAGTCCAGTCCTAAGTCTAGAAGGTCACGATTTCATTTTTTATTTGGTTTCATTCTTTGAATGAAATATCCTCCCTGCCATTTGTTACGTAAGACCCCTCCATCATGCATAAAAATGAAACAATAAAACCCTTTTGCCCCCACACATCCAATCAACTACCAAAGAATCATTACTGGCCCCACATGAATATTTCTTTTCCTTTTCTCATTCCAAACCCACAGACCCCTAAACTAAGGGTTTTTAAACCCTTTTGTTTCTTTACCTATTTGATCATTGAATTTAATGTGGAATAAATTGTTGTTTAAAAATATCGTGTGTATCTTTTGTTGTGATCATTATATTAATAATATTTTATAATTATTACAGAACAAAATGAAATCTGTAACAGTAAATGATGAAAGTGTTCATGATCATTTGAAAGATGGTTCGCCACCTAACATAGAAGTCATTGAGAATGAGGATAAAGATTTTGATAGAGAAAGTAAGAGACCTAGGTTAAGTACTTCAAAAGTTTGGGATCATTTTACGAAAATTGGTATTAAAGATGGTAAAGAAAAGGCAAAATGCAATGCATGTGGAATAGAGTATGTTGCTGGTGGTATGAAAATAGGGACCTCAACAATGTTGCGTCATTTGTCAAAGTGTTCGGTCCTAAAGAAAGTAAAAGACAATGACATAGGGAAAATGATAATTGATCATGCTGGGAAATTAAGATCTAGAGAAATTGACCAAAAAGTTGTAGATGACCTTATTTCAATGGCTATTATTCAACATGGACTTCCATATAATTTTGTTGAATATAAATGGATTAAAGAATTACTTCTATATCTAAATCCAAAAGTAAGAGTTCCAAGTAGGAATACAGTTGTGTCTAATATTTCAAAGAAATTTCATGAACACAAAGAGAGGGTTAAACTTGCGATGTGTAGATCTCATAGTAGAATTTGTTTGACATCTGATTGTTGAACTTCTATAAATCAAGAAGGGTTTATTTGTTTGACTGCTCATTTTGTTGATGCTAGTTGGAGGTTGAATAGTAAGATTATTGCCTTTTGTAAAATGGAACCTCCACATACAGTTCATGATTTGGCACAAAAATATTTGCTCTCTTGCTTTATTGGGAAATACATAGGAAGATTTTTTCTATTACACTCGACAATGCTAGTGCCAATGAGGTGTTGCAAAAAATTTTGAGTGAGCAATTGAAATTGCAAAATAGTTTGATATGTAATGGTGATTACTTTCATATAAGGTGTAGTGCACATGTCTTGAATATTATTGTGTAAGAGGGATTAAAGGTGGCTTCTGATGCTTTGCAAAAGATTAGAGAGAGCATAAAATATGTGAGAGGATCAGAGGCAAGAAAAATTGCATTTAAAGAATGTGTTATTCAAGTGAGGGGTATTGATACCAAAGTAGGTTTGAAAATGGATGTTCCTACTAGATGGAATTCTACCTATCTTATGCTTGAGAGTGCAATTCGATATCGACGCGCCTTTGGAAGTTGGCTATCCGTGATAGAAATTATTTTCATTGTCCGTCAAATGATGAGTGGAAAAAGGCTGAAAAAATGTGAGTTCTTGAAGCCGTTTTATGTAATGACTAATTTGATTTCAGGTTCTTCTTATCCAACTTCTAATCGTTACTTCATGCAAGTTTGGAAAATTGAATGTTTGTTACGAGAAAATGTAAAAAGTGATGATATAACGATTAAAGATATGTCATTGAGTATGATGAACAAGTTTAGTAAGTATTGGGATCAATATTGTGACATTCTTGCTATTGGGGCTATTCTTGATCCACTGATGAAGTTTGAAGCCATTCGATTTTGTTATGGAAAGATTAATCCTTCTACTTGTGAAGAAAAAATTAATGTTTTAAAGGATAACATGTATAAGTTGTTTGAAGAATATGTCAAATTAAATTCAAATGAGTCAAATACTTCAAGTTCTCAAGTTGCTCCTCCAACACAACAACCTTCTTTTACTAATGATGAGCCAGTGATGGATGCATTTGATGTAAGTCTTTAATTCTTATATTTGCTTTATTTTATTATGTATATTTTATTTATTACTTGTGACTAATGACATATTAACTTTGTTTGATGTCTTAGGAATATGTTGATTATTTGAGCCAACATGTTAATGACACTGGAAGGTCTGAATTAGATCTTTATTTAGATGAAGGGAATCTTGATCCAAAGTTTTTTGATAAGTTGGATGTATTAAGTTATTGGAGGGATCGTCAAGATCGTTATCCAAACTTGTCTAAGATGGCTTGTGATGTTCTTAGCATTCCAATCACTACAGTTGCTAGTGAGTCTGCCTTTAGTCTTGGTTCTCGTGTGCTAACCAAATATCGTTCATCCATTCTTCCAGAGAATGTTGAGGCACTTATTTTAACTCAAAACTGGTTGCATGGTTTTGAACTAACAGGTAACATTATTGTTATTCTCATATGTCTTTAATTATTTATTACTTTGTGTTTCAATACTATTAGTTAACA